GCTCTTCCTCCCACCCCCGCCATTGGCTTCTTGCTCCATTTCTAACTTGTTTAGAGCCTCTTAGGGAGTGTGTTAGAGAGACAGAGAGAGGGAGGTGAGTCAGAGTGTCTGGCTGGGTTGTGTAAAACCTGCAGTGAAAGCTACCCCACCCCCGCTAGGCAGTGGTGTTAGGGATTTTCCTTTGTGTTAGTGCTTCTTTTGAGGAATTTTGTGCGTCTTCCAAAGCCAGAAAGTATCAGGGAAGTGGTCTACGATTTATTTTATTTTTCCTTCAAGAATAGGGCAATCGGTTGCATGTGCTGTCACTTGAATTGTTCTACTTGAAGATCTTTTTTAGCTTAATTATGATGCTTATTGCATTTGAACAGATATCTGGAAACATGGCTACTGAACATGTTAATGGGAATGGTACTGAAGAGCCTATGGATACTTCTGCTGCAGTTACCCATTCTGAGCATTTCCAGACATTGCTTGATGCTGGTTTACCACAGAAAGTTGCTGAAAAACTAGACGAAATTTACGTTGCAGGTAAGATGTAAAACTTGCAAAACCACACTTACAATATTTTATTGGATTTTGCTGTCTTTGGGCTAAAATAGCAACTTTTTGTGGTTTCCAAAAGTATGGGAACTGCAGCCTTGCCAAAATCCGTTGATGTTTTCCATTCAGTGCTTTAATTTGTTGTAGTATTTTTCAGTGAAAAGTTGGGCCAGGCCACTTGGGCTGGGGGGTGGGAAGGAGGAGAAGTATGCAGGTGACCATAGCAACAGCTGGAATAGGCAACAGATGATTTTTAGGAAGCAATGTAGTCTTTGTGCATTTTTTTTTTATGGTAGTTGTAGGTAACTGTAAGTAATTGAAGCCTTGGTATTCATCATCTTATGAAAATGATACTTAGTGACATAGTATTTGGCTTCATGGATGCGAAGGTTATTGTACTGGTTCTCTCAGACATGGTAATAGCTAGCATTTTTGAAGCTTGATTTTTGGATTGCGGTGGTCACTTTTAGTGCTGCAGTTTATTTGTCTTTATAGTCTTCTCAAAATGTACCAAGGTACCATCGCTAGGCAAGCTAAGTCAGGTTTTGAGAGATCCTTCTGAATTCAGCTTCACGATATTGAAAATAAAGTTGGCCTGTGTAACCTCTGGGTTTCACAGAAGTCAAATGAATGCATATATGCAACAACTGTTACTCTGAATCTTAACTTTTTTGGACACTTCTTGATTTAAAAAAAAGGGTTAAATACTCTCAAATATTTATCTTTAAGAGGACTAAGTCATTTTTTAGGTATAGTAACTACGTTAATCAGTGATTGATTTAGGGGTCACTGAAACGTGTTAGATGTGTTAAATGTGGTTAAACAAAGATTGCTGCCCAAATATAATTAGTATTTTTTTCTTTTCTCTAGGGCTAGTTGCACATAGTGATCTAGATGAAAGAGCTATTGAAGCTTTAAAGGAATTTAATGAAGAAGGTGCATTGGCAGTGCTTCAGCAGTTTAAAGACAGTGATCTCTCACATGTTCAGGTAATGTTAAGCCATTTGGAATATAAGTGTTGAGGGATAAACTGCTAGTTGACTGGCAAGAGGTTTGGTGTAGTCTGTTTAGTGATCCATATGTGATACGTGAAACGAGCATTGTAGTATTTGAAGGTAAAATCAGATTGTCATGTTTTCAGAACTGAAGATTAATGTGTCTTTTGCAGAACAAAAGTGCCTTTTTATGTGGAGTCATGAAGACATACAGGCAGAGGGAAAAACAGGGGACCAAGGTGGCAGATTCTAGTAAAGGACCAGATGAGGCAAAAATAAAGGTATGTGCCCGCAAGATAAAACTTATGTGGTGTGCCTGTGGTTTTTCCAAGCTGTTGTAAGACACCTTAATTCTTTTGGAACCGTGCTTTTCAAAAAGGGTATTTTAGGTTATTTGTCATTATTGAAAGCTGTCACATTTTAATCTTGCACTTCTTCAAGAGGATAGTTAATATACTGTTGACTACTGGAGTTAAAGGTATATAAAAGTGAAAAAGGTTTGACAGTTTGCTTTATGTCTGAGACAGTATTTCACAGTTAAAAGTTTGCGGAACCTTGTCAGCGTAGATCTTTTCATTCAGAATGCATAACTTCAGCTACTGCTGGTTGGTTTTTTTTTCTTTTTTTTTTTTTTTTTTTCCTTCAGTTCAGGTTGAAAGCAGCTCCACAGTAGGGAGGGGTTACCATGTGTCTGAAAAACCAGGTTGTAGTGGATTTAGCCAGCTTCTTATGACTTAATCACTGTTCTCATAAACTGTACCACAAGCTGTCTTAGTAATGGACACATTATTTCTTGGACTGAGTCTTCTGCTAACAAGAGACTCCTGTATCAAGAGTTAGGCATACTATGATTTATTTAAAATTCCATGATTAGCAACTTTACCAAAGCTTAAGGAAAGGAAAACCACCTAAGCATGCTCAGTTGATGTCTTAAAAAGCAAGAGAATCAGCTTTAAATTTTTGTGTGTAAAGTGCAAATGAATGTATTTTATACTATAAGTAACTCTGTAGCGTGTGAAATCAGGAAAATCTTTTTTCTCCTGGCATCCCTCCTCTTTTCAGGCTGGGTTGCTGTTAATCATAAATTTAAAAAAAAAAAAAAATTGTCACTACCACATAGAACACAGTGATATAAGGACTTTGTTAGCTAACTTAAAGTAGCATAGCTTTTACTGCTGATGGCTACAGCCTTTAAAATAACTTTCCAGTTTGCCAGTTGTGAAATTACTAACTCTTGATTATAATTAGGCTTGTTTAATATGCTGTTTCTTTGTATGTAAAGTTGACTTGTCTTTGTACAAAATTATTAAGAAAGACTAATTTCAGAGGAGTTTCTAATACATTCGCATACTGAGTGTCATCTAACATTTTAAATTGGTGGTATATCTGTAACTGTATGAAATGATTCTAGTGAGGATCAGTTGTGCTGGGATGCTGTATGGGCCCACAAGGAATTTGAAAGGGGGCGCCAAGGGAGGATGGGAGAAGGGAAGCAGTACTACCACTTCAGTGGCTGGGTATCTGAAGCGGTCTGTGCAGTGTTCCAGGGGTGTAAGCACTTAAACATGTGTTCTTTAACTTCACACTTATGAGTAATCTTATTAAGTGAAGGGAACTCCTGTGCATAAATGTTTGCAGGATTGGACATGCCAAAACAAGAAGTGGCTGAGACTGAGATCTTTCTAATTAAAGGGAAGCTCGCTGTTCTATTACTTGGCCTTTTTTTTCTTTTTGTATGAAAATGAAGGAATTGGGAAAACTATGTGAATCTTAATTTTCTAGCAGTGTTCCTTTACCTGGCAGTTGTAATAATTCTTTTGCAAGTTTCTTGTTGAAGTAGTAGCAGTAGGCTTGTTTGCCTGTGGCAGTTTCAGAACAGTACATATTAAGAGGAATTATAAGCCTGTCTGTTTCAATGAAGTACATCCAAACTAGCTCAATTTGTATATGATCTTAAAATTTTAAGTTTCTTACTTGAAGGCACTCTTGGAGAGAACCGGCTACACTCTTGATGTGACTACTGGACAGAGAAAGTATGGTGGACCTCCTCCAGAGTCTGTGTATTCAGGACAGCAACCTTCTGTTGGTACAGAGGTGAGAAGGAGGACATGGTTGTGTAGATGTATTCTTATTCACTGGAAGTATTTTTTAATAAACAACACTCTGCATGTCTGTTGTAGATCTTTGTGGGCAAGATTCCAAGAGACTTGTTTGAAGATGAACTTGTTCCATTATTTGAGAAAGCTGGCCCTATATGGGATCTCCGCTTGATGATGGATCCACTAACCGGTCTAAATAGAGGATATGCTTTTGTCACTTTTTGTACTAAAGAGGCAGCTCAGGAAGCTGTTAAACTGGTAAGTTTTCTTACTTGGTGATTTTGTTTTTTGTTTTTAAGAACAATCTCTGGCTTGTCAACAGTTGTCCTGATCCGAACACTTAAATTCTTAAGATGAAACTTTAATTGTTAGATCACTTCATATGTGTCCACTAGGTGTTTTGAAACATTTCCACGTTGTGTATAAATTTTTACTGGCTGTATTAGGGACAGGAAAAAAAAAAAGCTGATGGACTGCTGTTTGGTCCATAGGTGAGCCTTTGTTATTAAGAAAAGTTGTATTGTGGTGACTTCTGAGCTGTCTGCATCTGGATGAGTTGTGGAGAGAAGTGGTGTTTGGGTTGCTGGGGTACAAGGGGAGCGTTGGTCAGGTTGTTTGTGACTTCTGATTTGCCTGTGCACCAGCAGGGGGCCCCGGGCTGGAAAATGCTTTTAAAGTCACAGAGTTTCACAAGGTACTTCAGATGGCAAATCATCACTCTTGAGTGTTAAGGTCTGTTCTGTTTGCTGCAACTGACTGGAAGAAGTCACAAATCCTGCCAGGCTGAAAAACATTTCTTCTGTTTTGCACAGAGGTGTGAAATAGTTTGATATAAGAAATAGGCTACTCTAATAATTTTTCCAGGTTTTATGTATGAAGTATCCAT